TTTAGTAGAGACGGGGTTTCACCATGTTGACCAGGATGGTCTCGATCTCTTGACCTCGTGATCCACCCGCCTCGGCCTCCCAAAGTGCTGGGATTACAGGCTTGAGCCACCGCGCCCGACCCTGTTTAGATTCTTGAGGGAGACAACAGAGATGAGAAGAATTTTGTAACAATAAAATAAAGACAATGGAGGGGATGAATATGCTGATGTAGAAGGAAAGAGGCCTCAGCTTCTGCAGTGCCTTTGTTATTCCTAATCCTTTTCTGATCGTCTGGGGGTGCACTGTCTCTCCATTTCTCAGGTATGCCAGTGATTCCACTCGTATTAATCGGCACTCAAACGACTTGTCCAAAACTGAATTCATCTTACTGACTCCGCCAACGTTTCAATAATTGCAACTCCAACCTTTCGGTTGCTGAGCTAAAGACTTGACGTATCTTTGATTCTTTTTTCATAACACACATCCGGTGTATTGGGAAGATTAAGAATTCAGTCACTTCTCACCAGCTGCTGGTCCAAGCCATCACAACACAATTCCTCCAAAGCTCTTAGCAATGCTCACAGCCTCTCCTCCCCACCTTACACTTTTGATTGCAGCTGCCACCGCGTATCCCCTGCTCACTCCTGCAGTCGTCAAAGAGCCCAATGTACTTCTACTTCAGGGCCAGGGCCTTTGCACTTGCAGCTCTCTTTGTCTGAAGAGCTTTTTCCCTAGGTATCGGCAGGGTTAACACCCTTCCTCATCCAGGTCATGGCTTAACTGACTTCTCAGCGAAGACTCCTGGCCACCCTATTTCACTTTATTTTATTTTTTGAGACGGCGTTTTGCTCCTGTCACCCAGGCTGGAGTGAAAATGGCGCGACCTCGGCTCGCTGCAGCCTCTGCCTCCCGAGTTCAAGGGATTCTTCTGTCTCAGCCTCCCGAGTAGCTGGGATTACAGGCGCCTGCCACCAGGCCCGCCTAAAATTTTGTATTTTTAGTAGAGTTGGGGGTTTCACCATGTTGGCCAGGCTGGTCTCGAACTCCTGCCCTCAGATGATCCACCCCCCTCGGCCTCCCAAATCTCCATGCCTGGGATTACAGCAGTGAGCCACCGCGCCCAGGCTGGCCACCCTATTTTAAACTGCAATTTTTCCCCTTCAATGCTTAGTTTTTCTCCACAGCACTATCACCATTTCATATAGTATATGTTTTTCTTCATAGTGACTCCCCTTGGAGAAGGAAAACTCCACGAGAGCAAGGATCTTTTGTCAGTTTTTCATTGCTATTTCCTCAGTGCTTAGACATGCATCAGGTCCAAAGTAGATGATTCATGTTAGCTGAATGAACAGCAAGAGCAACGGAGGAGTCCTGAAATACACAGCAGGAATCAAGGATAGCTCTGGCCTTGCTTCTATGGCCAGGTTCCTTCATCCCAATCTATCAGAAGCAGAAAAACTAGATCGAGCTCCTCAGAACCCAGGTCGACGGCTGCAGAGCCTTCGAGCTTTCGAGAACGAATGGCGACCACTCTTTATGGTTCTCTGTGAATTCCAGCGGGAAGGCGGTCCCTTTCCGCGCCTCAGGTCAGCGCCGGTCATGCCCTGCACCCGAGCGCCCCGCTCCGGCAGCTGCCGCCTGCAACATCCGGAACGTTTCGGCTTGGCAGCAGCGCGCGGCGGAAGGACTTCGGGGTCGCACCTAAAGCAGCGGGGCGGAGCTTCCGGCTGAGCGTCCTTCCAGCGGGGCCGGTGAGTCCACGGGTGCACAGTCTGTGAGGCGGAGAGGTGGGGCAGGACATCTGGCTAGCTAGGCGGCTAGGAGGGTATTCGCGGCGGGGAACAGAGGCTGAATTGCCCTGCCTGGGCTTGTAGGAAAGGTGGATGTGAGGGAGCGTGTGAACGCAGAGGAAGGTAACTTTCGTCTGGGGAGCTGCCCAGTAGCATTGGAGGCTGCAGGCCCTCCCTCCCTGAGTAAAAGCGCAGCTTTTAGAAATGATGGTTCAGGGTTCGAGTTTGTGATCCGATTGATAGAGTGACCAACCTCTGACCCTGAATCCCATACCTGAAAAATAAGGACAATAATGACCCTTGCCAGTTTCATAGTACTTGGTAGGGTAAGGTGTGGGGGAAAGCTTCTTACATCGCGATGTTTGGTGCTCTCATTTGTTTGCAGATAACATTCCGAGCTCATGTAACGGGAATCACACCAGTAGGCATATGCTGAGGAATGTGGATTGTCTGGGGTTGGATTCTAGGAAACAGACCACTGATTATATATATATATATATTTGAGAAGTCCTTTGATGTGATCAGCTGAAAGTCTCTCAGTTTCTGTTTTTGTTTATTTATTTAGAGACAGGGTCTCCCTCTGTCACCCAGTCTGGAGTGCAGTAGTGAACACGACTCACTGCAGCGACTCTCCTGGGCTCAAGCCATCCTCCCGCTTTACCCTCCCAAGTAGCTGGGACTAAAAGCACTCGCCACCTCTCCCAGCTTATTTTTTGATGTTTTATAGAGGCGAGGTCTCACTTTATTGCCCAGGCTGGTCTGGAACTCCTGAACTCAATTGATCCTTTTGCCTTGGCCACCCAAATTGCTGGGATTATAGGTTTGAGCCACTGTGTCCTGCCAAGAATTTGATTTTAAAAACATTGAGAACATTGCCACGCCGATAATCCCAGCACTTTAGAGACTTTTTCCGTCTCTACTAGAAAGTAATCGGATTGTTGGATCGACATACATGTAGCCAACAAATATATGAAAAAATGCTCAACATTACTGATCATTAGAGAAATGCAAAACAAAACCACAATGCAAATCAAAACCACAAAACCATCTCACCACCAGTCAGAATGGGTGTTATCAAAAGTCAAAAAATAACAAATGTCGGCAAGGTTGTGGAGAAAAGGGAATGCTTCTCCACTGTTGGTAGGAATATAAATTAGTTCAGCCAGTATGGAAAGCAGTTTGGAGATGTCTCAAAGAACTATGTTTAATTTTGTCTTTTTTTTAAAAAAAATTATGAGCCGTAAGCATTTACCCATTTATAAATAATACATGTCACTTAAAACCTTTTGGTTTTGAGAAAATTTAGACATACACAAAGATGGAGAGAGAGTGCAATGAATGAATCACGTATGTCACTCAGCTATAATAATTAGCTATGGCTAATCTTGTTCAGCTACACCCATACTCCTCACAGTTTGTCATGTGACACATCTATAAAGCATTTTTGTCCCTTTACAAATTGTAAAAACATGCTTATTTTTATTGGTGCCAAGTTTGTGTATAAGTGTTTATATTATTTCTTGGAAATGAGAAATGGAATTCTATGAGGATTTTTATCTAATGACAATTATTGAGTAAAATACAAAGAATAAGATGACCTGGCATTCTGATTTTTTTTTTTTTTTTTTTTTTTTTTTTTTTTTTTTTTTTTTTTTTTTTTTTTTTTTTTTTTTTTTAGTTGGATGCATTTTGTAACAAACATCTTTAGATAACTTACATTCTAATGGTTTTTACAGATTATTGAATAATAAAATACATTTAAAAACAATGGATGAAGAACCTGAAAGAACTAAGCGATGGGAAGGAGGCTATGAAAGAACATGGTAAGGACAGCATTATTGCTCTGTCTTTTAGATGTTGTCTTTTTTTAAACAACTTTATTAAGGTATATTTTACATATGTTAAAATTACCCATTTCCAATGTACAATTCAGTGATTTTATTAATAGAAAATTTACTGAGCTCTGCAGCCATCACCATAAACCAGTTCTAGAACATTTTAATCACTCCAGTAAGATCCTTAATATCCATTTACAATTAATTTCATTCCTAATTTCATCCTTAGGCAATCATTAATCTACCTTTTTGTTTCTAAATTTAACCTTTTCTGGACATTTCACAAAAATGTGACCATATACAGTCATGTGCCGCATAATGATGTTTTGGTCAAAGACCACGTAAATGACAGTGGTCCCATGATGTAATACGGTATTTTTACTGTGCCTTTTCTATGTATGTTTAGATATATAAATACTGACCATTGTATTACAGTTGTCTTAGATATTCAGTATAGTAACATGCTGTACAGGTTTGTAGCCTAGGCATGGGATAGGCTGTACCATCTAGGTTTGTGTAAGTATACTCTATGATATTCACACAATGATGAAATTGCCTAACAATGCATTTCTCAGAATGTATCCCTGTCAGTAAGCACTGCGTGACTATAATAAGTGGCCTGTTGTGGCTGGCTTTCGCCTATTTTCAAGACTCATCCATGTTGCAGCATGTATTAATACTTCATTTAAGCCAGGCGCGGTGGCTCACGCCTGTAATCCTAGCACTTTGGGAGGCTGAGGTGGGTGGATCACCTGAGGTCAGGAGTTCAAAACCAGCCTGGCCATCATGGTGAAACCCCATCTTTAAAAACAAAAACAAAAAAACTTCATTTTCTATTGCTGAATAGTATTCCCATCTATAGTTATGCCACGTTGTTGTTTTTCCTTTCATTAGTCCGTGAATATTTAGGTTCTTTACAGTTTTTGGCTGTTAGGAAAATGCAGCCATGAACACTCACATGTAAATCTTTATGTGGAGATATGTTTTCATTTCATTTGGGCTAGTAATCATTTTAGCTTATCTTTTCAAACAAATAATTATGACTTACAGGGAGATTCTTAAAGAAGATGAATCTGGATCACTTAAAGCTACAATAGAAGACATTCTATTTAAGGCAAAGAGAAAAAGGTATGTAACCTCTTCCTATGTGTGTTAAAAAGGTAAAATATATTCATTTTAAGCCTTTCTAGCTATAAACACCCCTCAGTACTTCATTTCAGCTGTGCTTCAGGGAGCTGACCTGTTGCCTTCTGACCATGGGGAAAGAACTAGCCACTTACCCTTGCCTCAGCAGGAAAATGTTCGTTAGAGACTATCTACAATACCTATAATTATGTGTATTCCATACATTAATTATTTACTCCACTAAAAAATGCACGTTATGACATTCTTAATCAGAATTAGAAAAAAAGAAAAAGCAGGTCAATTGGAAAGTTGTGTTTATTTTTTTGTGTAGGGGATAGTATATGGAATTCCATTAAAATGTTTGTATAATTTTGACAGAGTATTTGAGCACCATGGACAAGTTCGACTTGGAATGGTATGTCATTATTTTTTCTTTTACTAGTACAGAACTAGTTTGGGTTAGAGAAACATTCTACCTTACTAGAAAAAACAATAGCAAAACAAACTTTTAAAAATGATACATTAAAAATATATACATAGAATATATAATTATTAAATGTCATTTTTACTAGTCAAAATGGCACTTGAGGTGTGAGCACAGTGGCTCACACCTATAATCCCAGCACTTTGGGAGGCCAAGGTGGGAGGATTGTTTGAGCCCAGGGGTTTGAAACCAGCCTGGGCAACAAAGTAAGACCCAGTTTCTACAAAACAAAACAAATACTTGAAATTGGCCCTTTCTTTTTTCTGGTAGATGCGTCACCTTTATGTAGTAGTAGATGGATCAAGAACAATGGAAGACCAAGATTTAAAGCCTAATAGACTGACATGTACTTTAAAGGTAAAATTTAAATTTATGCTAAATCATTTAAATTTGTACTAAAATCACTTTAATTTTTACTAAAAAAGTGGGAAAGAACACTGGATTCTAAAGGATATTTTTAAAGAATGCAATTAAAAAATTTTTTTTTGCTTTGTATTTTTAGTTAATACTAATGATAGCTAAGTAGAAGTACTACCAGGTCATTTAAAGAAATTATAAACCAACATAGCTAATTATTTGTATTTTTAATTTCTATCCTTTCACCCCGCATCAGGATCTTGCTTTGTCAGTTATTCCTTTTCTTTATTGAATCTTCATTCTCCTTTGCCTTACTTAAATCTTTCTCCTCAGATTACAAACACATTCATATTATTCCTAATTCAACAAAACCTGTTCTCAATTCTGCTCATTCTCCCATCTCTCTTCACTGGACCTTTCCCTTGTTTAAATTTTTTTCTGGCACATCCAAATGGTTCCATCTTTTAAAACCTAGCTCAAACCTATCTCATCACCCACCATTTCAAATTGAGGTTTTTATGATTTAATATTTTTATTAACATACTTTGAAAATCTGTAAGTTTGCCGGGCGTGGTGGCTCACGCCTGTAATCCAAGCACTTTGGAGGCCAAGGTGGGCGGATCACCTGAGGTCGGGAGTTCAAGACCAGCCTGACCAACATGGTGAAACCCCGTCTTAAAAAAAAAAAAAAAAAAGGAAAATCTGTTAAGTTTAAAAGTCACGAGAAGTGAGGCTTGATAAACAAGTTTCACAAACACCAATTGGACATGTTATATATGGTTGTTATTTTGCCTTTATTTAGTATGTCTTTTTTTTGTTCAAACAGTTGTTGGAATACTTTGTAGAGGAATATTTTGATCAAAATCCTATTAGTCAGGTACGTATATAAGTAATAGAATTCGGAATTAGATTCCTATTTTGCTGCCAAATGTTATTTATTTATTTATTTTTTTGAGTCGGAGTTTCGCTCTTGTTACCCAGGCTGGAGTGCAATGGCGCAATCTTGGCTCACTGCAACCTCTGCCTCCCGGGTTCAAGCAATTCTACTGCCTCAGCCTCCCGAGTAGCTGGGACTACAGGCATGCGCCACCACACCCAGCTAATTTTTGTATATTTTAGTAGAGTCAGGGTTTCACCATGTTGGCCAGGATGGTCTTGATCTCTTGACCTCGTGATCCACATGCCTCGGCCTCCCAAAGTGCCAAGATTACAAGCGTGAGCCACCGCGCCCGGCTGTAATTTATTTTTTAAAAATTGGACATGTATTTTGTGAATTACCCAGATTGTTTAAACAGTTTCTGGCATACTTATCAATGAAAAGCATAGTAACTCTAAAAGTTAAATAATGTACAGTGAACTCATAGCTAAATTTATTTGCCAAAAACACAATGAGAAAAAGTTTCTCACATGTTGCTTCTTTCTTTTGTAGTTACTAGCTTATTTTAGCTATATAAATTCTTTTTTTTTTCTGCCCCAATATTATCTACAGGAATAGTTAAATGTATTCTTTTTGGGAGGAAATAACTTATTATATTAATAATAATTTTTGTTTTTATTTCAAGATTGGAATAATTGTAACTAAGAGTAAAAGAGCTGAAAAACTGACTGAACTCTCAGGTATGCATAAAATTACCTTTACAGGACTCAAGGACTTTGCTTTATTTACCCAACCTCATAACTCTGTTTGTATGGCTGCTTAATAAGTAATGTGAAGGCTTCCTCTGTGCTCTCTAGGTGAAACAATTTAATAACATCTTCCCCACCATTATATTCTTAGGATATAAGGATAACTATTTTAAATTGAATTCTGCATAGTGGTAAATAATATTACATTGAATATAAATGTTTTTATTTAAAATCAATATGTGCTTATCCTGAAAATATTGAAATATAATTATTGTAACATTTATAAAATCCAGTTAATCTTAAAATTACATTCTTAAAAAGTTAAGCATCTAATTTAAAAAGGAAAACACACAAAAACTGAAGTATAGCAATTGCTAATGAATCAATTTTTCTGCTTCCATGACATACCTAACCGAATTTTAGTTTCAAAAGATAGTAATGGCAGTTTTTATTTGCTTTGGTATATATGCTGTTACAAATTAGCAACACTGATTCTATTTTATTTTCCATGAAATACACTATCCCTTAAAAATGGTTCTCAACCTTTTATCTTTATCAACACACATAAGGGAAATGACATACTTTCTTCATCAATAGTTTTTCATTATGACTGTGAGGAGTCAAATGTACATTGGCCTGGAGTGATCCAAGAAACTTAGTTGTGAGTAACCAAAAGAATGTCAAACTAGCTTAAGTGTAGAAGGAAGATTTTTGGCTTATGCTCAACGGTGGGCTGATTTCATACATAGTTGCTGCATGTGTTGGGGTCCTGGCTTTGTCTGGCTTCATCCTCTGATAGATTTTCTGGAATTTGAAAAGATGTCTCTTAATAGTCCCAGTCTACATGGTACCGGTAGCCTACGGCTTCAGCACAAGTCTAGGGAGGACCCTGATTGGCCTGACTTATGATCTGCCCATCCATGAACAAAGTGATCAAGGGATGAAGTATTTTGTTTGTGTGCTTGGATTACCTGCCTATGCCCAGAGCAGGATAGAAGTAGGGTCAGCACCACATGCACTAAGCAGGATTATTATGTAGTGGGAGAAGGATGGTTCCCCCCAGGTAGGGATATAGGGTCAGTCTTCCTTCCTCTCAGTTTACTTACTCCAAATAACCGGCAGTTTTCTTTTACTTTCTTTCCCCACGCTCCCCCCGCCCCACCCCCAAAGCAAGGAGTCTCTTGCTCTGTTTCCCAGGCTGGAGTACAATGGCTCACTGCAATCCCTGCCTCCCAGGGTAAAGTGATTCAAGTGATTCTCCTGCCTTAGCTCCCCAAGGAGCTGGGATTACAGGTGTGTGCTGCCATGCCCAGCTAATTTTTGTATTTTTAGTAGAGATGGGATTTCATCATGTTTTCGTCAGGCTGATGTGAAACTCCTGACCTCAGGTGATCCACCTGCCTCAGCTTCCCAAAGTGCTGGGGTTACAGTTGTGAACCACCATGCCCAGCCTCAGCAGTTTTCTACGGATGTTAGTGAAGTCATACATATAAAGATGAAAAATTTTCTGGAGATTCTGACAGGCCTTTGAAGGCACCTTTTTTAAACCATGCTGACACTATTGTGGTGTGCTTTTTTCTTATACCCATAACATAGTGGGAGATTAAAAATCATTTTGTATGATACGGTAGGAAAGTAAGTAGATAGCCATATCTAGGTTTGAGTGCTGCTGGTTCTGCAGTTAAATAGACATATGTCTTTGGGCAAATCATTTCACTAGTTTAGATTAATTTTCTCACGAAATGTGGGATTTGGAATTAGCAAGGTACTTTTCATCTCTAAAATTTATGAATCTAAAATACTTGCAATAAATATTAAATATTACAAATGGTTAGTATTTTAAAACTAATTCAGATGGATAAAAACTCTAGGGAGCTTGAAGTTGATGAATAGACAAAGAAGACATAATTCACACAGAAAAAAAATAAAAAAAACAAATAAGGGAAACTAGTGATCCAAAAAAAACTCCACCCAATTCCATAATATTTTATTACTTAATATATTTTAAATGAGCAAAAATAAGTTTCAAAAGCAATGTGTTGCTTGTGGAACCACAGAGAAACTGTTATTTATAGTGCTGATAGTCTTATAAATTAATATTTTTTAGAAAAGCATAAAAATTGCTCCTGAAATTATATTTAGGAAATGTTATGGAAGGAGAATGATCACTCTACAAAGATACTCTTTGCAACATTATGTATAATAGTGACAGATTAGAAATTGAATGTTTAATAGTGTAGAAGTACTTTGATGAATTATATTGTAATTATATTGTATGATAAAATCAATTTAATGATACTTAGATTATTGATTGATACAAGGACAGTGCTGAAATGGAAAATGTCTACAGAATACTATATTTTATTGAACCTCAGATTCCATCAATTATAAGATACTTTTATGGGCCATTAAGAAGGAAAAGTCCTGGTAGTTAAATTTTAACACAATATCAAATGATATATGAATTGGTTATACTAGCTTCTTGGTAATTTGACTGTCTGTCACTTTGGAGGCCTGGCGTGGTAGCTTATCTCTGTAATCACAGCACTTTGGGAGGCTGAGACAGGAGGATTGCTTGATCCCAGGAGTTCAGGACTAGCCTGGACAACATGGCAAAACCCTGTCTCTACCAAAAATATACAAAAAAATTTAGCCAGGTATGGTGGCAGGCACCTGTAGTCCCAGCTACTTGGGAGGTTGAGGTGGGAGGATGGTTTGAGCCGGGGAGGTAGAGGTTGCAGCGAGCCAAGACCGCCCCATTACCCTCCAGCCTGGGCAACAGAGCCAGATCCTATCTATAAACAATTTTTATATTAAAAAGAAAAAAGAATTTGGCAGCTTTCCCCCTTCATTTGAATTGCTTGGTATAAGATAGTCTTTTCAGATGCTGTTCTTTTCAGGAGCAGATAACACAGCTTTGTCTCTTTGTGGGAATGTTCCTTTTTTAGGTCTTGTAAAGCTCTTAATTTCTTACCTCAAGAAAAATACGGAATTAAATACATTCTTTCATTAATGAACATTTGCTTCATTGATAATAAATTTATGCCTCACTGCTGTGTTCCTCACCTTTCTACATAAAAATATAGCCTTTTGTATTAACCTATCTAAAAACATTTTATTGTTTGTTTTTGAGACAGAGTTTTGTTCTTGTTGCCTAGACTGGAGTGCAATGGTGCGATCTTGACTCACTGCAACCTCCCGTTCCTGGGTTCAAGCGACTCTCCTGCCTCAGCTTCCCAAGTAGCTGGGATTACTGGCATGTGCCATCATGCCCGGCTAATTTTGTGTTTTCAGTAGAGACAGGGTTTCACCATGTTGGTCAGGCTGATCTCGAACTCCTGACCTCAGGTGATCTGACCACCTTGGCCTCCCTAAGTGCTGGGATTACAGGCATGAGCCACCGTGTCTGGCCCTAAAAAACATTTTAAATGGCAGTTAAACTCACTATAAAGAGGACAATGTACATAATGCAGTTGAAGCAACAGCATATGAAGACTTATTTGTAGGTTCACATATGAGCAGGCAAAGACAGCTATATTGCAAGTGTTGCTGGCTACCAGTGATTGTTAAACACATGCTAATTTCAGAGATGTTAAAATGTGAAAATGTATTGGTCTTAAAAATGATGAAATATGGAAATATTAAGAGTAAAAATGTACTCTAGGTTAATATTATTTTAAAATATGCCAGTCTATAAGGAGATTATTTGTATTTATAATATGTAGGATTTTATTAAAAGATTATTTTTATTTTAGGAAACCCAAGAAAACATATAACGTCTTTGAAGAAAGCTGTGGATATAACCTGCCATGGAGAGCCATCTCTTTATAATTCCTTAAGCATGGCTATGCAAACTCTAAAGTTAGTATTATACATTTTTAATAATTGATTTAGAAGTTTTTTAAATGAGTTAAGTTGAAATGATGTGTTAATATGGGGCCCATAAACCCAGCTATAACAAAATCGTTAAGTAGGAAAAATATGTAATGTGATTTATGATGTTTAATATGGTGTTGGTTGGTAATTTTTAT